TCAAGGGTTTTTTTCCATATTTATTTGTTTATGTATTTATTTTTATTATACTTTAAGTTCTGGGGTACATGTGCAGAATGTGCAGATTTGTTACATGGGTATATATGTGCCATGGTGGTATGCTGCACCCATCAACCTGTCATATTAGGTATTTCCCCTAATGCTATCCTTCCCCTAGCCCCCTACCCCCCAAGAAGCCCCATTCTGATTCTCATTCAAACAATGTTTTCTCAGTGTTCAACTCCCACTTATAAATGAGAACATGCAGTGTTTGGTTTTCTGTTTTTGTGTTAGTTTCCTGAGAATGATGGTTTGCAGCTTCATCCATGTCCCAGTGAAGGACATAAACTCATCCTTTTTTATGGCTGCATAGTATTCCATGGTGTGTGTGTGTGTGTGTGTGTGTGTGTGTGTGTGTGTGACATTTTCTTTATCCAATCTAACATTGATGGGCATTTGGGTTAGTTCCAAGTCTTTGCTATTGTGAACAGTAACACAATAAACAATGTATGCATATGTCTTTATAGTAGAATGATATATAATCTTTTGAGTATATACCCAGTAATGGGATTGCTGGGTCAAATGGCATTTCTGGTTCTAGATCCTTGAGGAATCGCCACACTGTCTTCCACAATGGTTGAACTAATTTATACTCCCACCAAAAGTGTAAAAGCATCCCTATTTCTCCACATCCTCTACAGCATCTGTTGTTTCCTGACTTTTTAATGATAGTCATTTAACTGGCGTGAGATGGTATCTCTTTGTGGTTTTGATTTGCATTGCTCTAATGACCAGTGATGATGAGCTTTTTTTCATATGTTTGTTGGCTGCATAAATGTCTTCTTCTGAGAAGTGCCTGTTCATATCTTTTGCCCACTTTTTGACAGGGTTTTTTGTTTTTTTCTTGTACATTTGTTTAAGTTTTTTGTAGATTCTGAATAGTTGCCATTTGTCAGATGAATAGATTACAAGTTTTTTCTCCCATTCTGTGGGTTTCCTGTTCACTCTGATGATAGTTGTTTTTGCTGTGCAGAAGCTCTTTAGTTTAATTAAATCCCATTTGCCAATTTTGGCTTTTGTTGCCATTGCTTTTGGTGTTTTAGTCATGAAGTTTTTGTCCGTGCCTATGTCCTTAATGGCATTGCCTTGGTTTTCTTCTAGGGTTTTTGTGGTTTTAGGTCTTACATTTAAGTCTTTAATCCATCTTAAGTTAATTTTTGTATAAGGTATAAGGAAGCTTTCTGCATATGTCTAGCCAGTTTTCCCAACACCATTTATTAAATGAGAATTTCCTCCCCATCACTTGTTTTTGTCAGGTTTGTCAAAGATCAGATGCTTGTAGATGTGAGCCATTATTTCTAAGGCCTCTGTTCTGTTCCATTGGTCTATATATCTGTTTTGGTACCAGTACCATCCTGTTTTTATTATTGTAGCCTTGTAGTACAGTTTGAAGTCAGGTAGCATGATGCCTCCAGCTTTGTTCTTTTTGCTTAGGATTGTCTTGGCTATGCAGACTCCTTTTTGGCTCCATATGAAATTTAAAGTAGTTTTTTCTAATTTTGTGAAGAAAATCAGTGGTAGCTTGATGAGGCTAGTATTGAATCTATAAATTATTTTGGGCAGTATGGCCATTTTCATGATATTGATCCTTCTTATCCATGAGCATGGAATGTTTTTCCATTAGTTTGTATCATCTCTTATTTCCTTGAGCAGTGGTTTGTAGTTCTCCTTAAAGAGATCCTTCACAACCTTTGTAAGCTGTATTCCTAAGTATTTTGTTCTCTTTGTAGCAATTGTGAATGGGAGTTCACTCATGATTTGGCTCTCTGTTTGCCTATTCTTGGTGTATAGGAATGCTTGCGATTTTGGAACATGGATTTTGTGTCCTGAGACTTTGCTGAAGTTGCTTATAGGCTTAAGGAGATTTTGGCTGAGACAATGGGGTTTTCTAAATATACAATCATGTCATCTGCAAACAGAGACAGTTTGACTTCCTCTCTTCCTATTTGAATACTCTTTATTTCTTTCTCTTGCCTGATTGCCCTGGCCAGAACTTCCAAAACTATGTTGAATAGGAGTGGTGAGAGAGGACATCATTGTCTTGTGCCTGTTATCAAAGGGAATGCTTCCAGTTTTTGCCCATTCCATATGATATTGGCTGTAAGTTTGTCATAAATAGCTCGTATTATTTTAAGATACATTCTGTTAACACCTAGTTTAGTTAATTGAGAGATTTTAGCATGAAGGAGTATTGAATTTTATCAAAGGCCTTTTCTGCACCTACTGAGATAATCATGTGGTTTTTGTCATTGGTTCTGTTTATGTGATGGATTGCGTTTGCTGATTTGCATATGTTGAACCAACCTTGTATCCCAGGGATGAAGCCAACTTGATTGTGGTGGATTTATTGAGGATTTTTGCATCATTGTTCATTAGGGATACTGGCCTAAATTTTTCTTTTCTTTTTCTTTTTGTTGTTGTTGTTGTGTCTCTGCCAGGTTTTGGTATCAAGATGATCTTAGCCTCATGAAATGAGTTAGGGAGGCATCCCTCTTTTTCTATTGTTTGGAATAGTTTCAGAAAGAATGGTACCATCTCCTCTTTGTACCTCTGATAGAATTCAGCTGTGAAGCCATCTGATCCTGGACTTTTTTGATTGGTAGGCTATTACTGCCTCAATTTCAGAACTTGTTATTAGCCTATTCAGGGATATGGCTTATTCCTGGTTTAGACTTGAGAGGGTGTATGTGTCCAGGAATTTATCTATTTCTTCTAGATTTTCTAATTTGTTTGCTTAGAGGTGTTTATAGTAGTCTCTGATGGTAGTTTGTATTTCTGTGGGATTGGTGGTGATATTGCTTTTATCATTTTTACTGCATGTATTTGATTCTTCTCTCTTTTCTTTTTTATTAGTCTGGCTAGTGGTCTATCTATTTTGTTGATCTTTTCAAAGAAACAACTCCTAGGTTCATTGATTTTTTTGGAGGGATTTTAGTGTCCCTATATCCTTCAGTTTGTCTCTGATCTTAGTTACTTCTTGTTTTCTGCTAGCTTTTGATTTTTTTGTTCTTGCTTATCTAGTTCTTTTAATTGTGATGATAGAGTATTGATTTTAGCTCTTTCCTGCTTTTTCTTGTGGGCAATTAGTGCTATAAATTTCCCTCTAAACACCACTTTAGCTATGTCCCAGAGATTCTGGTACCTTGTGTCTTTGTTCTCATTGGTTTCAAAGAACTTATTTATTTCTTCTTTCATTTTGTTCTTTACCCAGTAGTCACTCAGGAGCAGGTTTTGTTCAGTTTCCATGTAGCTGTGTGGTTTTGAGTGAGTTTCTTAATCCTGGGTTCTAATTTGATTGCACTGTGATCTGAGAGACTTTGTTATGATTTCCGTTCTTTTACATTTGCTGAGGAGTGTTTTACTTCCAGTTATTGGTCAATTTTAGAATAAGTGTGATGAGGTGCTGAGAAGAATGTATATTCTGTTGATTTGAGGTAGAGAGTTTTGTAGATGTCTATTAGGTCTGCTTGGTCCAGAGCTGCTTTCAAGTCCTGAATATTCTTGTTAATTTTCTCTCTCATTGATCTGTCTATTGACAGTGGGATATTAAAGTCTTCCACTATTATTGTGTGGGATTCTAAGTCTCCTTGTAGGTCTCTAAGAACTTGCTTTATGAGTCTGGATGCTCCTGTATTGGGTGCATATGTATTTAGGATAGTTAACTCTGCTTGTTGCTTTTACTCCTTTATGATTATGTAACACATTTCTTTATCTCTTTTGATATTTGTTGGTTTAAAGTCTGTTTTATCAGAGACTAGGATTGCAAACACTGCTTTTTTTTTTTTTTTTTTTTTTTTTTGCTTTCCATTTGCTTGGTAAATGGAAAGCAAAAATAAAAAAAGCAATTGAGCCTATGTGTGTCTTTGCACATGAGATGGGTCTCCTGAATGTAGCACACCAGTGAGTCTTGACCCTTTATCCAATTTGCCAATCCACATCTTCATTGGGGCATTTAGCTTATTTACATTTAAGATTAACATTGTTATATGTGAATTTGATCCTGTCATTATGAAGCTAGCTGGTTATTTTGTCTGTTAGTTGATGCAGTTTCTTCATAGTGTGGATGGTCTTTACAATTTGGTGTGTTTTTGCAGTGGCTGATACCAGTTGTTTCTTTCCATGTTTGGTGCTTCCTTCAGGAGCTCTTGTAAGGCAGGCCTGGTGGTGACAAAATCTCTCAGCATTTGCTTTTCTGTAAAGAATTTTATTTCTCCTTCTCTTATAAAGCTTAGTTTGGCTGGATATGAAATTCCAGGTTGCAAATTCTTTTCTTTAAGAATGTTGAATAGTGGCCCCTACTCTCTTCTATCTTGTAGGGTTTCTGCTGAGAGATCCGCTGTGTCTGATGGGCTTCCCTTTGTGAGTAACCTGACCTTTATCTCTGGCTTCCCTTAATATTTTTTCCTTCATTTCAACCTTGGTGAATCTAATGATTATGTGTCTTGGAGTTGCTCTTCTCAAGGAGTATTGATGTGTGTATTTCCTGAATTTGAAAGTTGGCCTGTCTTGCTAGATTGGGGAAGTTCTCTTGCATAATATCCAGAAGAGTGTTTTCCAATTTGGTTCCATTCTGCCTGTCACTTTCAGGTACACCAATCAAACGTTGGTTTTGTCTTTTCACATAGTCCTATATTTTTTGAAGGCTTTGTTCTTTCCTTTTCATTGTTTTTTCCCTAATCTTGTCTTCATGCATTATTTCATTAAGTTGATCTTCAATCTCTGATAGCCTTTCTTTTGCTTGATTGATTCAGCTATTGATCCTTGTGTATGCTTCACGAAGTTCTCGTGCTGTGTTTTTCACCTCCAGCATGTCATTTGTGTTCTTCTCTAAACTAGTTATTCTAGTTAGCAATTCATCTAACTTTTTTTCTAGGTTCTTAGCTTCCTTGAATTGGGTTAGAACACGCTCCTTTAGCTCTGAGGAGTTTGTTATTACCCACCTTCTGAAGCTTACTTCTGTCAATTCATCAAACTCATTCTTTGTTCAGTTTTGTTCTCTTGCTGGCGAGGAGTTGTTATCCTTTGGAGAAGAGGTGTTCTGGTTTTTGGAATTTTCAACATTTTTGCATCAGTTTCTTCCCATCTTCATGGATTTGTCTACCTTTGGTCTTTGATGTTTGTGACCTTTGAATGAGGTTTCCAAGTCGACATCCTTTTTGTTGATGTTGATGCTATTCCTTTCTGTTTGTTAATTTCCCTTCTAACAGTCAGGCCCCTCTGCTGCAGCTCTGCTGGCATTTGCTGGAGGTCCATTTCAGACCCTGTTAGCCTGAGTATCACCAGCAGAGGCTGAAGAACAGCAAAAATTACTGCCTGTTCCTTCCTCTGGAAGGTTCATCCCAGAGGGGCACCCACCAAATGCCAGCTGGAGCTGTCCTGTATGAAGTTTTTGTCAGACCCTGCTGGGAAGTGTCTCCCAGTCAGGAGACAGAGGGATCAGGGACTCACTTATGGAGGCAGTCTGACCCTTAGCAGAGCTCCAATGCTGTGCTGTGAGATCAGCTGCAGAAAGCTGGTAGTCAGGAACGTTTAAGTCTGCTGAAACTGTGCCCATCGCCACCCCTTCCCCCAAGTGCTCTGTTCCAGGGAGATGGGAGTTTTATCTATAAGCCGCTGACTGGGACTGCTGCCTTTTTTTCAGATATGCCCCCCCATACACACCCCAGAGAAGAGGAGGCAGTCTGGCTACAGCAGCTTTGCTGAGCTTGCGGAGGGATCCACCCAGTTGGAGCTCCCCCACCCCTCTTTGTTTACACCGTGAGAGGAAAACCTCCTGCTCGAGCCTCAGTAATGGTGGATGCTCCTCTCCCCGCCAAGCTTGAGCATGCCAGGTCGACTTCAGGCTGCTATGATGGCAGCGAAAATTTCAAGCCAGTGGATCTTAGCTTTTTGGGCTCCATGGGGGTGGGACCTGCTGAGCTAGACCACCCAGCTCCCCGTCTTCAGCCCCTTTTCCAGGGGAGTGAAAGGTTCTGTCTCACTGGCATTCCAGGCACCACTGGGGTAGGAACAAAAACTCCTTCAGCTTGTTTGGTGTCTGCCCAAATGGCTGCTCAGCTTTGAGCTTGAGACCCAGGGCCCTGGTGGCACAGGTACCCAAGAGAATCTCCTGGTCTGTGGGATTGTGAAGACTGTCAGAATACTGTAGTATCTGGGCTGGGGTGCACCGTTCCTCGTGGCACACTCCCTTGTGGCTCCCCTTGGCTAGGGGAGGGAGTTCCCCAACCCTTTGCACTTCCCCGGGTGAGGTAACACCCTACCCTGCTTCAGCTGACCCTCTGTGGGCTGCACCCACTGTCTAACCAGTCCCAGTGAGATGAACTAGTACCTCAGTTGGAAATGCAGAAATCTCCTGCCCTCTGCATTGATGTGGCTGGCAGCTGCAGACCGGAGCTGCTCCTATTCAACCATTTCTTTCATTTCTGAATGATCAACAGATAAACCCATATTGCAAATGTGTCTAACCTAAGATGACCTCTCCAAACATTCATTTATTCAATCTATCAATTATTTATTAATTTTTGATGTATTAGTGTAAGGTTCATTAAGAGCTACTCTATGCTGCAGAGGGGACACCTGAGGCATGTCTTTCAGAAAGAGAAGAAGGTGCCAGCCCAACCATGGGGCAGGAGTAGAAGCTGGCACAGGGCATCCTTCAGGCTGACTGTGATGTCTTTGGTTGCCACTCTGGGGTGTCATCATTTCATAAGGTAAACCCCGCTCAGGAACATCTAGGAGGAAAGGCCCCATCCTAAAGGTATTACCATTCCTCACCTGACCCTGTCCAAGGTCGCCAGCCCACAGCACCCGACATGCATTCAACCCTCCAACTGACCCCAGTGGCTCAGGACACATGTGGAGGGTTTGCCAGACACTGCTGATGAGAATCTATTTTTCTGAATTTCCTCAGGGTGAAGTAGGGCAGGTTCACAGCCTGTTCCATGAGACACACACACACACACACACACACACACACACACACACACACGTTCCTCACTCAATGAGTCATTATGAAAGAGGAGCATATCTTTGAAATCTGTAAAACAGGACATAGAACGATAAAGTAGCTTCATGGTGAACTCAGAATCTTGTGGCTGTGTTCATGTGACATTCATTCATTCATTCATTCACTCATTAACAAATGTTTATTGAGTTATCAACTGCAAGAAAGTTCTGACAATATTCCTGTAAAAAGGCAGCATCCCTGCCCTCTTGAAAGTCACAGCCAACTAAGGGAGAAGTCATGACTCCAGGCTGCATAGTTAAAAAGCATCCTTAATAATTAATAATAATGGCCATGTAATGGAAATTTCCAGTGTGTCTGGTAATGGAAATTTCCAGGGTGTTACTAACTCTGAGCAGATGGGGTAGCTGAGGCTCAGAGAGGCTAAGTTAGTTGCCTAAGTTTACACAGTAATTGTAGCAGGACCAGCACTAAAATCTATAGCGTTTGCCCCCAAAATCTGTCTTCTTAACCATGGGGCAATAGGGTACTCAGTTGGTTCACTTCTACCTTACACAAAAACTTGTCCACCTGAGTGAAGGAGTGGAGGTAAAGAATAAAATAGCAGCAAAATAGTACAACTAATTTATTTTTACCTCATCAGAGTAGGATTGACCCAAGATTTCAACCCCCAGATTTCATGTTAAGAATGATTTATCATATTGCAGATGCATGTTTTTCTATACCACCATAAAACAGATTAATAGTTGTGATACCGAGTAGTCCCGAAGAGGTTAGCTATGTTCAATATGACCTAATTGAGATGGCAGAGAAGTGTGTACAATGTTTCAAAAGAATTTCCACTAGAATAATTAAAATAAGTTATTCTTTCTTATTCCTTGGTGATGCAATGTAAATGAAATTCTTTAATAGGCAATTGGGAGTGAGGTTGACCTGCCTTTCAATTCTGGCCCTAACATTTACTAGCTTTGTAAACTTGAGGAAATCACCTCTCTGTACCTCTGTTGTGCATCTATAGAGTGGGCTTAATGATACCAAATTATGAGTGCTATTGAGACATTGATGGTAAACTATGTTTAGAGTGTAAAGCACCCAGCAGTGCATCCAGCACACAGCAAGATGGGAAAATTATATGAGATGACAATTAAAGGGTGCATGAATCTAGAAAAGACTTTCCAAGACACATGCAAATATACCTCTATACTCTGAACTGGACAATACAGCCAGTGTTGGGGGTAGGGGTGGAACTACAGGCTCCTCTTACTACTTCCTTCACTGAAGAGTCATCAAGAAGTTGAATGTGAGGGCTGGAGCAGTTAGTAATCATTTGGGGAGAGACAGAAGGTTCTGTGTTTAGAATATTATGATCCAAAGCTCTAGAAGGAATAAGAAAAAGAGCTGGAAAGAATAGCAAATGTAGGGAGAACGTAGTGAACGTAGCGTGAGAATGAGAGCAGGGTATACACAGGCAGTGGGAGGTTGGCTTTTGTGCTATACAACATGGGTCAGCAAACATTTTTTTGTAAAGGGACAAATAGTAAGTATTCTAGGCTTTGTGGGCCATACGGTCCCAGGTATTCAACTGAGGAGCACATGGCCACATGCCCAGGCCACACTCTCAGATCTGTTATATTATAATCCCTCAGGGTAAGACTCAGGTATAGATTTTGGAAAGATGTAAGAGCCTTCACTGGTGTAGGTCATGGACCATTCTCATGTGTGCTGGTAAGGGGCTATGACCATAACTGGTACCCACTGTGGCAGTCATATAAACCAACACACACTTAGCAATGTCCAAGAGGAAATGGGCACTGGAAATGTGGGTCTGGGATTGAAGAGAAAGGCTGTGCTCAGAAGTTCCTACCGAATTAAGAGTTCCCAGCACAATACTGGGGGAAAGAGAGAGAGAAGAGAGCCTATGAGTGGGTGGATCCTGATATGAAGAATGAGAATGGCAGAGGGAGGAAGCCCAGGGAGGAAGGGGAGAAGGTGAGTGATACCCAGCACAGTATTCTGAGAGCAGAACTAAGGCCCCAAGCAGGTTAGCTTCCTTCCCTTCATCAAGTATTATGTGGTCAGTGACTGTAACACACGTCACGTTGTCACATTCATTCAGCTGCAGATTTTCAGACTGGGCACTACAGCAAAATGGAACTTCTACTCCTATATTCAATATCCAGGTACTCAGAGCATCATCAGCTTAGCGGGAACTGCATGCTTGCAGAAGACACAGGGCAGCAAGACCTGACCTAGGGATAACTCTACATTTTATGAAGCACACTTGCATGATCATGGAACAAATAAAAATCACATTCTCGATTTTAATAAGGTAATCAAATATAAATAAAATAAAGATCTACAAGGGAATTTTATTACTTCCATCAATTCTTCAGAAGCAGATGCACCAAAGACTCAGAAATTATTCTGATTGTAATGGTCACCAGAGCATGTTCCAAAAATATAAACCTGTGATCATATACTCATTCCTGTATAATGTTAAATAAAAACCAGGCTGTATGTTTACGATTAAATTCGAATTTGGAATTAAATTATTTTGGAGACTGGATTGAGTAGCAAATCATTAACACAAAATTACCTCTCAAAAGCATCACATAATAACATGAAACATAAGACTATCTTAACCACAGAGCCCCAAAAATCATATATTCACAGATGTGAGATGGACTACTGTGCTCCAGGCCTTGCACCGGTCTTTATAGATACTGCCATGGTTAACTTTCATATTTCATCATATCTAAAGATAAGTATTGATTTTACCATTGAAATTATAGTTTTTGTAAGATAATTGGGGCATTTGAAATTCAAGCCCAGGTCATCAGGCACCTTCTATACTTTAAATAAAATAGGGCCAAAGGAAAAATGTTTCTGTGGACAAACTAACTCTAAAATTTTAAGATTTTTGAAGTTTTAAGGTCGGATTTTCCTCATATTTATTTCTATTGGAATTGCCACAGATACTCACTGAAAATACGATTTTCAAATTCGCACATTGTCTTAATATGCCAATAGTTAATGCCATCTCCGAGGACAAACTAGACATCATTAGAACTTACTGGAATATGATATTTGGATAATTTCTCCTTTTTAATTAGAAAAACATTTAAAATGAACAGAGAAATTCTCACAGTTGTGGTTTTTAGGTTTTCAGGTTTTCCAGACTAGGCTGATACTTCTCTGAGCAGCCTTGAGACAAAGGGACGTGCCTGTGTGGGTTCTTCAGGATCTAGTTCTCTGCCCCACACGTGCTTCTCTGTACCTAAATCTGTGTTAAGACTTAATGTGGCTGTCCACGTGGACTTGGCAAATTTGCCTAATACTTAACATAAATAGCTCATAAGACAAGTATCAGATAAGCACTTTTACTAACCTTTAAAGAAGAGGCCAGGCATGGTGGCTCACACCTGTAATCCCAGCACTTTGGGAGGCCGAGGTGGGTGGATCACTTAAGGTCAGGAGTTTGTGACCAGCCTAGCCAATACAGTGAAACCCCGTCTCTAGCAAAAATTTTAAAAAATGGCAGGGCGTGGTGGTGAGCGCCTGTACTCTCAGCTACTTGGGAGGCTGAGGCAGGAGAATCGCTTGAACCTGGGAGGCAGAGGTTGCAGTGAGCTGAGATCGCACCACTGCACTCTAGCCTGGGTGATAGAATGAGATTCCATCTCAGAAAAAAAAAAAAAAAGAGAGAGAGAGTTGCCTCTCAGAGATCCTACCACCACGACTACCATCAGAAAAAAAAATGAATAAATAAAGTTAGCACTTACTATGAGGAATGAAGGGGGAGAGTCCACTCAGGGTGGCCATTTTAGAGACAGCAACTGTCATTTTGTGGCCTATGATAAGAATCTATCTGTCGTCTCCTACCACCTGTCCTAAAGTAGCTGGCAGTGTCGTTTCTGTTATGAGCTCTGTAAAACCCAGTGATACCTTCTCCTGTTGCAAATGAAGGGCCTGCTATTCTCTCTCCTCCTTATTGACTCTGGGAACCACTCAAAAGAGCTCCTCCCAGTGGGCTTTGTCCCAGCACTATTTAAAATCACTAACTCTATTCACAACAGAAAAGCTATGTAATCGATCTAAGTGCCCATCAACAGATGAGTGGATAAAGAAAATATGGTATGTATACACCATGGAGTAGGTCTCAGCCATAAAAAGAAATGAAATTGTGTCTTTTGCAGCAACATGGATGGAAATGAAGGGCATTATCTTAAGTTGACTAACTCAGACACAGAAATCCAAATCCCACATGTTCTCACTTAGAACTGGGAGCTAAACAATGTGTCCACATGAACTTAGAGAGTGGAATAATAGACACTGGAGGCTCAGAAATGAGGGAGGATGGTGAGGGATGAAAAACTAGCTAATGGGTGTGATGTACGCTATCTGGGTGGTGTTTACACTAAAAGCCCAGACTTCACTACTACACACTGTATCCATGTAACAAAACTGCCCTTGTACCCCCCAAAATCTATAAAAATAATAAAATCGCTAGCAAAAAAAATGACTGGCGCAGTGCCTAACTCTGCAAAATAAGTAATTTTTCAATGATAATTGAATCGACTGCTATTGTTTGGCAGTCCCCACTGTCACATGGAAGCTTCCCAAAAAGAGCAGCTCAGCAAATTTCTTTTCCCCTTTTGATTATAAATCAAAAAACTCCAGCAAGGCTAGGCTTTATTTCTTCACTTTCAGAAACTGAAGAAAATTGTCTCGCCACACACTGACCTCATCAAGAGTTGCAAATGTATTTTGATTTTGAGTCCTATTATTGTCATATTAGAAATACAGACATTGAAAAGTAATCTGTTTTTCTTCCTTCCATGTTTCAGACTAATAGTTTATCTAATAAAACTGCTTTTGTGTCTTATCCCAGAAATTGTATATAAAATTAAGATTAATCCTATCCACTGCATTTCATGACAAATTAAGTAAATTATGTAACATTGCGCACTTCCTTTTATTCTTCTTTCTCAGGGTTTCTCTTACTTAGCAAGATTTAGCATCCAAGCTCTTGTGATTGAAAGACTCAATCCATAGTCTCTATCAGCTGTCCCATTAATTCCAACCCATAATATCTGCCTTCATTTAAACACTTGAGAAATTCATAGATGCAAATGATAGATTGGGTAGATACAGAGATAGATAGATGATAGATTGCACATATAGATAGATTAGATTAGATTAATCAATCTCCATGCCCTGAAGAAAACGAAGGGTCAGCTCAATCTACTTTGAGTATAACCATTCACTGAGGAATGAATTATTAAAGTGGCGGATGAGGGTGTGGCATCACTAGGTGCCTAGTGCTGAAGAGAGTGGTATCGCCATATCAATGGTGTTAATGCACAAACCCTTGGATCTTGTGAGGCTGGGTTTTAGAACTGTACTGTTTTCCCTTACCTCTGTTAATTAGTCCTGTTTAGGGATAGCCAAACACAATTTCTTAAACGCCTTTTATTCAAGCCTTCAAGAATCTTGTTAAAGAGACTCATAATATTTCCTAGAAAAAGAAAACAACTCTGTCAAAATAACATTTTGATGAATTGAGTGTAAATGAATTAGAAACATACGGATTAAATTTCCCTTGAAATACACATAGGTTTCAAAATTAAGGGGAATTAACTTCTCCAAATGTGTTTTCAATTTTGCCTGACCTCAAAACTTTGATGCCTGGTTTGAAACGGTTGGCCTGATGCCAGTTTTGCCTACCCTTACCATGGCTTTACCTGGGAAACCATTTTATTTTCAGATCTTCCTGGCATTGTGATGCCTTAATAACATCAGCAATCTGATGAGCAGGGCCTAGCCCATTGCATTAAAATGGTGAAAAATTGCAGTATTTAAAATGACCTCCAAGCCTAGCCGTTGGCTCCTTGATTTCATCCAGCTTTGGGCAGTATATAAAATTCCAAAGCAAACAATGATTTTATGAAGCCTCAGAAAATGTTTTGAGAGTTTTGATTTTCGATAAAAAGTGATTCACATTCTCTTAAGAAAGATATTAGAAATGATAAAGATTTCATTTTAGAAGATGTTTATTGAAAAAGCAATTGGATTTTTTGAAATTTTTGAAAATGTCTCATCACTTTTTTCACTCAATATCTTTAAAATGCTTGCATCATGATTACTAGGTAGATGTTAACTTGTTTTTTGTACCTGATAGAAAACTTAAAGCATAAATAAGCTCTCCAGCAAGCCATTGAGAGGAAGCATTACGACGCCCCCCTTCTTCGTCTCTGAAGCCTGTGGTCTAGAACACCAACAGCAGGCAATCCTGAACCACATAAATCTCATCAGCACTGGCTTTGGTAAAGAGCTTGCTGCTGGACCAACTCTGAGTTCCAGAAAGTCATCTGGCTCATGGCCACTCCTACCTTGTTGTCTTGTTGTCTCCCCTATCAAGACAGAAAATGGTAATAATCAGGTAGCAGCAGCAACAAATCTTGGCTCAGCAGAGCTAGGAAGAGAGAGCAGGAAGAGAGGGGTCCCGGATGCTGACAATAATATAAGGAAGTGAAAGAGGAAAGATAGGACAGCCAGTGGTCAACTGAGCCGAATCCCATGCTGAAATTCTGGGAAGTGTTTGAAATTTATTCTCTCTCCAGGTGAGGGAGCTGAGGTATGTATACCTCAGCGCCTTTCTGTCATGACAGAGGCTGCTGTGGGTGGGAACGGGAGTGGAGCTGCTACATCCCAGCACTTCCAGCTTGCCGTATCTCGATCCGGCAGTGAGAGAAAGCTCCAGGCGAAGCAAGGAGCTGCTGGCGGTTTCAGATTGCAACTGAGTGCCCTGAAAAGGTCAATGCTGATGGGTTATGAGTAGGCCCTTGGCAGTGTTTGCTACAGGAGGCTTTGAGACAGTCGTCACTGATGTCCAGGCTTTTCTTCAGAATCCTCCAGCCACCCTGAACTTGGGGAAAGTGTCAGAGTTTACATGTAACTCTTCTATTCCTACTGATCTTATCTCTCTTGTATTGGTAAAGAGACATCACTCTTGCTCATTCAACTTTTTTTCTGAATAAGTAGGCATTGTTTCTGGTTCCAGTTTAAATGGATTACTCAAAGAATAGTGGCTCTGACTTTGCCAGCCATTGTAAGACCTCACTATAGACTGGTTCCTAAGTGACACTCTAAGTTCTGTCAGCCCCACCCTTTACCCCGATTCGCATTAATATGAGTGTTGCAGAGGTGGCAGTGTTACAGCGTGGTCCTGGTTTCAGGCTGA